TATTAATAGAAATAATTCATGGAAATTCCTTTGGGAAGAAAAATATAACTATTACAGAACTGACTATAATTCATTGCCACCAAAATCTACAAATCTCAATGAGTTATCCTGTTTGTCTGTGTATCATGACAGCCAGTTTTATAACACTGATTAATTAATTCAGAATACTCACAGGTTCATTAAATGTATAACAGAAAAGCTTCTAATCAATATAAAAATTAGCAGTATGGAATTATTTTTAGCAAAAAGACAAGTTGGAACTATGTAATGACTAAAAATGCTAGAGTTCTCTGTCTTGTAACAACTCGTACTCATAACATTATTATAATATCAACAACATCCTTTTCCTCCCTATGTTGTTTTTTTCTGTTTATACAAATACAATGGTTGAGTATGTGAATTATAAAGTCAATTGCCGTCTACAGTAAGAAAAATTATAGAATATTGCCAGCTCTTTAAATAGACTTCAGAATTGTCTATAACTATATAGTAATAGACAATGTTTCAAATATTTTAGATGAGGAAAAAAAAAAAATTCTTCTTTTTTTTCCTCAAATGCAGACACACTATTAAAATCAGCATGTTTGCAGGATTCCCAACAATGCATTTGTTCTCTGGGAGGCTGTAAATCTACTTTACTGCTTAGTGTGCAATACAACACTCAGCGTTTGCATCCTGTCAGGGACTTTTCTCCATGTTCTCACCTATGATTTTTCCAAGTCACTTCTTTACTTTTGTCCCAACTGTTGTCTTATCTTCACTGAATATAAATATCTCTAATGGATACACACCCACCCACATGCATACATATACATGTGCACACAAAATACCAGGATTTCTCAGGGAGACACAAAGAATATAACAAGAGCAATTAAATAAAAGAGAAGACAAAATTGAAATAAATTAGCCTATTCTACCTCAATCTTTTCTCTTATCATTTGTGTTCTTTTAAGGCTACTGTTATGATACTGGAAATCCACCTGACTACTGCTAATTAAACCTATCAAATAATACTGAACATCTGACTAATTCAATTATTAAGACAGCATTATCAGAGAAGCACTTTTTCTTCTCTCTTGCTTGACTAATTGTAAAGTCTCCTTGAATTGTCCTGAAATAGCCCATCTGGATTCTTTGTAAAAACCAAAATAAATACTCCAATGTTGGAGTAATTTTAATGCACTTAGGATAACACAGAACAATTGCTGAAGTTGCACCAGTACTGTGTGAATATTTATATAATAAAGACAATAACATTCAGCTTTGACTTCCCAACTCAAAGTGCAGAATTAAGACTTTAATTTCTAACAGATTTGCTTGTATTGGTACGTACTTTATAGTTGTCTCAAGTTACATCAGAGTAGTAAAGAAATACTCAGATAAAGAAGCACATTTTGAAGAAAATCAAATAAATATCAGGAGATTTTTCTGAAACTTCATAAGGAGTTTGGAATGTGGAGGGCCAGTGTTTGCAAGTTTTTATTTGGTTGAAGATTTTATGTCAAACTAAATTACCTATGCTACCCACATATAGGTGTTGCTGCTACTTTAAAATAGAGTGCTAGATAACGAAAAAAATCTGAAATTACTACTTTTAAATAATTAAACACCTACTATCAGTTTTGAAACATTTTCCAGTAGTGCTTCTCCCCTTATAATTTTCAAGAACTTGCTATCTAGGTGATGCATAGTTCAACTATGATAATTACATCCAAAAGGGAAAAAAATTAACATATTGCTGAAATTGTAGCTTGCAAACTCCCAATCTCCTTCAGGGTATACTTTTTTGGCATATTTACATATTTTCAAATTATATCTTTTGACAGGGACTAAGAACTTAGCTATTCTGTTCTAAGCTCTACCACCACCCACGTGAATCTGCCAAAATCAAGCCTAATGTTTTTGGTTTCTTGTGTAAAATGGATCTTTTAATATTCTTCTTGCAATTTTGCTAGGAGAGCAAGTTTGTATCTCCCAAGTATTTTGATGTCAACAATTAGACTCAAGATGAAACCCACAGTTTAAATCCGTAGGTGGAGTTTATTGTGAGATATATAAAAAATCAAATCAGTTCATTTTAGCTTGAAGAAAATTCTTTGCCACAAGTGACACAATTGTAAAGGGCACTATCATATCATTTAATAACTCTGAATCCCAAAGACGTCTCAGTCACAGCAGGCACCCGCACATGAAATCTTTGCAAAGAGCTTTTAGTAGTAGTTTCACACTCTCATACAAGTTTGAATAATTTCTACCCTTCACTTTTAAAATAATTTCTGAAAAACAAGTAATTGCAGTTTAGCATGCATCACAGTGGATGTATAATCTGTAATGAAACAGCATGAAAATCTTTCTTGTTGGATTCTAAACCTTAACAGGTTTTAAGGAAAACGTGAGATTTAGTTATTTACTTAGAGGAAAAATGTTTGTTTGGGCTTTACTACAATACAGAGAGTGAATAACAGCACATGTTACCACATAATGCACTTGGAAAGGTTTTCTTCATAATTAAGCTGCAAGTCAAAATGCCAAAATGAAGGGGTTTTTTTCCCACCACAGTATTATATGAATTAATATTTAACAACAGAAAAAAAGAACTTACAGGTAAAGCAATCTTTCAGAAAACTTCTGCTATGACAGAGCTTCATGTGACCTTTCACATTACTTCCTGGGTTCATTTCCTAAAAGAAATAGAAACGGGACACATGTGAAACCAGTTGCAATGTTAAAATAGCATCTATTTCATTGCCTTAAAACAGGTTAAGAAGCAAGGTTTGGGAAAACTTTTTAGGCTGGTGTCTTCCAAAAGGCAGAACCTAAAGAAAAAATTCTGGACTTGAAAGGTAATCTTAAATAATTTTTATCAAATCCTGTACCAGATACTGGTATCCATTAAACTTTCTGTAGACTTTCAGACTGATTTGAGATTAGTCCTTGACCTTCCTGAGCACAGGGAAGTCATACATGATCTTCCCTCTATTAATCACACTTGTACAAAACGCCTGTGCATAGCCAGTTAACCCATATGGCATTAGCAGGATAACATTCAAATATACAATGCTTAATAAAACAAACAAAAAAAAAAGCCAAAACATGTAATTAGCACTCCAGCAATGTTTTTGCTGTAATAGTTATCTCATAAGAATAGCAAATACAAGCCCTGCAAGGGACTCGAGCCAGCTAAAGAATGGAGGTGCACAGGGAGCTGTGGGGGTATTTGCAGCAGAAAGCTCCATCCTGGAGGGCAGTGAATCCCACAGCTGCTGCTTGGGGAGGTTTGCAGCGTGCTGGAGATTCAGGTCAGGACATTGCAAAGGGCTGCTGCAGACTATGACCCTCTGCTGCTCTTCCATATGAGCACTGAAGATGATGCCAGAGGCAATGAAGAAAGCATCGAGCACTGATTATGCTGCTAATTATGTGGGGAGGTGGGGTCAAGTGCATGGAGACCCCAGGCAGTTTTCTCTTCAATCCTTCCAGAAAAGCAGAAGGGTGAAAAAGGTAGCAACAGATCCCATAAGAATTTGTTGTGCAGTTGGTGTGGGCTACAAGGTTTTAGATTTTAAACAATCATGGGATGTTCTACAAGAACAGAGGATGGTTTAGCAGAGATGCTGCCCACATAGGTAGATAAAAACATTTTGCCAACAGGCAGGCCAATCCAGTAATGAGAATTCAAACTAGGAATAACAGGAGTAGGAGGGCATGACCAGCAATCAAGAGAGGAAGTAAAGAACCAGGCTGGCAAGCAAAGAGTATGGGGAAATGTCAACAGGAAGAAATTTGTAAGCAAAAAACCAGGGCTTGTAGAGGTCCCACCCCAACCGTGTACATGTAGATAGGGAAATGCCTTCCAGGCAGTAGTAAAGGTATTCTATCTTTTCTAGGAAAAAAACCCATGCTTTTGTGCCTCTTCATATAGCCTGTTTGCTAATGCACACAAGCAAGGCAAACAGGACAAATTAAAAGGTCTGTATGCAGCTGGAGAATTTAAACTTTACTGGGATCACAAACATGGGTAGATAGCTCATATAAACTTGAAAAGTAAAAGTTTCTGCTGGTGCTGTGCAACATAAGGAAGGCTATGAACAATGGTCTCTCTGTCACAAGATATGAATGAAAAGGTATCTCCTGATGGAAATCTGTCACAAAAGTTATGCAGAAGGCCAATACACTGAATGTCCTCTTCATCTCACTCTTCACTGACAAAACCATCCCTCAGCTATCCCAGGTCCCTGAAAACCATAGGAAAGCCTGGAGCATGGCAGATTTCCTCTCAGTGGAGGAGAGACAGGTTAGGAAGCATTTAAACAAACTGGACACACACAGACCCATTGGCCATAATGAGATGCATTGCACATATTGAGGGTTGGCTGATGGCATTGTGAGAGCGCTCAGTCACTGAAAGATCAAAAAGGATAACAGATCAAGGTGAGGGGAGGAAACTCTGAGGACTGGAAGAGAATAAATATCACCTCTACTTCCAAGAAATTCAGTCCCAGCCTCACCTCAACTCCTAGGAAAGGAATGGAGAAAATAAACCTGAAAGCCATTGTCAAACAGAGGAGGAATAAGAACGTATTTGGACATGGCAAGCATGAATACATAGAGGAGAAATTGTGCCTGACCAACCTGATAGCCTTTCACAATGAGCAGGCTGACCCAGTGGACAAGGACAGAACACTGAACATTGCTTATCTTGACTTTAATAATGTTTCTGTCACAGCCCTGCATTGTCTTCTCCCTGAAAAACTGATGAAATACAAAAGAGATGAATGGAGAGTAAGACACACAGAAAAGTGACTAAACTGCTGGCCAAAAAAGGTTGTACATCAGAAGCACCAAGTTCACCAGAGGCTAGTCATCAAAGGCACACACCAAGTGTCAATAAAAAAGCCAGTACTGGTTCAGCAACTCATCAATAACTTGCAAGTTGAGACACAATGCATAGAGATACTACAAAACTAAGAGCAGCTGATACAGAGGGTTTTCCTGCCATTCAGAAAAACCTTGGCAGGCTGAGAAATGGGCCAACAGTAGCTTCATGAAGTTCAATACAGGGAAAAGGTGAAGTGCTGAACTTGGCAGGAATAATCCTGTGCGTGTTGGCAGAAAAGGACTTGAGAGAGAACAAGCTGGCCATGAGCCAGCAGCATGACCTCACAGTAAAGAAGTTGCACAGCAACCCACGCTGCATGTGGAAGAGCAACACCCACACAGTGAGGGAGACCATCCCTCCTCTCTGCTCAGCACTGGTGAGCCACCCTGAATGCTGTAGTGGGTGGCTCAGAACTGGGCCCAAGAAAAAGTGTTACTGCAGCAAGGCCAGCTAAAGTTTATGGAGGTAAGTAAAGGATTGGAGCACGTTTTGTATGAGGAGAGGCTGTGAGAGGTGGGGGGCCTTGAGAAGAGAAGCTCAGTGGGATGTGTCCTATGCTTACAGATACCTGATCAGTGGCAGAATAAGGCAGGCAGAACTTCTCAGTGGCATCAAGTGAAAGGACAAGAGGCAACAAGCACAAATTAAACACAAGAGATCCCATTTAAACTTTTTTCTATGAGGGTGGTCAACCAATGGCACGAGTTCCCCAAGATGCATCTCCATCCTTGCAAACATCCAAAATCCCACAGGGCACAGTCCTGGGCAGTATGTGCTAGCTGACCCTGTGACCCGGCTCCGACCAAAGGGCTAGACAGTCTCCAGAAGTCCCTTCCAACCACAACAATTCTATGATTCTGGAAAGTTATTTATTTAACTGGTCTCTGCTTAAAATAAATTGAAAAGAGGTTAAATTAATCACCCATGAAATTTCTTCTCCACAATGCATGGGGGAAAAAAAAGTATAATCAGCTTTGTGTTTTAGCTAGTGTAAAAAGGCTTAAAAAGGTTATAGCTAGAAATATATAGGAACTCTGATCCTAATGGATGTCACCATGTCTTTTGGGCTCCTGGATATTGATGGCAAGATTTCAAAACCATAGATTAAATGCAACAGGAGAAATTCAGATGCTTTGATCCAATTAGATGTCTCTCCGCAGATATTCAAAACCCAGCTGGAGGTCTTCCTGTGTTACCTGCTCTAGCTGACTCTGCCTTGGCATGGGGGTTGGACCAAATGATCTCCAGAGGTTGCTTTTAACCCTAACAATTCTGTGATTCTGTAATTTTGAAAGACAAACATTTTCCCCAATAATTCCTGCTGCTAACACTCCTAGTTTCCCATGAGAAAGCAGAACGTAAAAAAACATAGAACTTCAGATAGGTATTCATATCTGATATTAAATATGTATTAATAACCAATGCATCAAATGTATTTCCTTTCATAATGGAATGGTATACTGAAAAGCCAACAAACTTTTCTCTGACCACTCAAAATAGTTGGCTAACATGCACACTAAAAATGTGAATCACCTGCATGGTGTTCAGTGGAACAGAATTTCATGTCATTCTATACTACAGGAAAACACCAACACTTTTGTAAGCATTAATAGGTTTATGACAGCATCTCCCAAAGAATTGTTCCACTCATGTGGAGACATCAACCAGTGGAATAATTTTTATAAGTCATGAAGAACAGAACCACAATTAGACTGTAGAAAATCTGAAGAAATATTTTATAATCAACAGATTACTTAGAGGAAAAAAAAAACTCTTTTAGCAGTTGAAGTCATACATCTTCAAGGGATCAGATAAAGCTTTTATTTTTCCATAAGCTTTTTCTTTCTGCAAGTTTGAATTTGGGTTGTTGAAAAGAAATTACTACTAATTATATTTTAAAATTTCTAATGACATATTTCCTTAGAGAAAAAGTAAACAGCATGTGCCTATTTTATTTGTTGCCAGGCAGAACAAAGAACACAAGTTAAACAGAAATAGAGTATATTTTTGCACACAGGTACTCATACAAAGGCATGTTATATGTACATAGTCACATGGGCATCTTTTGTGTTCATGTTGCTATGGAAACAAACTTGCATGTAATCAAACATGATTACAAAGACATTCTAGCTCTTAGAGTATGAGTCTTTTCATTCTTAAATCAAGGATAAAAGCTGCTTTATAAGATTATAGAAGAGATGCCAGTAGTAAAGAGCATCTGAAGCTAACAAAATTATAATATCTGAAACACAAAGATTTTTCATTTAATACTGTTTGTGTACTTAAATGTAACTTCAGAGACTAGCCCAAAACAGCAGCAGATTATGACAGAGTAAGGACACTACAGATTTTGCATACACAGAAGATGTGGCAGATAAACCTAGCATTTTCTTTGATTTCTTGAAAACAAAATTTATAGGAAACTTTCACCGTGGAACTACTCATATCAAACAGCATGCCCATTAAAAAAAGGACAAATCAAAGAACTATACTATATAGATTTAAGTTCCTGTTTTCCTATTTTTTTCACAGAGCATTAAACAATCCCTATTCAATACCTGTATCTGTTTTATTTATCTTGGTCCATCTGCTCTGCAAATGTTCTTGCAAAGCAGTTTCCCATGGCAACACCAAATATCACATAGACTCAGTCTTCTGTCAAAGCCCTTCTAACTGATCCACTCCTGAATTTCAAACAGCATATTTTCCTGCAGTATTTAAGTAAATAATAAATGGAGGATTTCTTCAAGAAAAAAAAAAAAATCTACATGAATGAAATAAATACCCATGATTAAGCCCCACTCTTCAAGCATTTATTTTTTATTTTATTGTTTTGGTAACTTCATGTTTCAAGACTATTACATTTAAATAATCTAAGACAAGGTGGAAGATAGGTTATTTAAAAATCCTGTCAATCTCATGGTAGTTTTTACTTGATTAAAATTTCAAAATTGATGTGTTACATGTAGCAAAACAAATTGTGCAAAAGCTTTAAAGAATAAGGAAATAATATGTTGAAATGTAAGTTTTGGAATGAAAAGACTACAATGGCTGCTTACTGTGGGACAACTTCTGATAGACTTCATCACCTACAAATTATTACTAGCCAGCCCCTCTAATTTTTACATCCTCATATTTATAATGCTCAAATACATGAGGAAAATTTCTCAATACATTTTCATTCAAGTTAAACTAATAACACTGATTTCATGAAAGTAACTCCTGTTTTACCTGAGATTCTATCTTGAGAACCCATTCTCCCTAAATTAAGACACAGAAGAAACAAACATTTTTTTAAGTGAAGTTATTCTGAAAAACTCAAAGTAAGCATCAAAAAATCCCAAACTCTTCAGTAAATATCACCCTAGTCCTGAGCACACCTATTCTGCATGAAAGTGCAACAGAAGCATTATTCAAGCTGTACATTAAGGAATAAATGTTCAGACTTAGGAAAAGTACTCTACTGAATTTCAAAGTCTAATATCTTTTATTTTACATTTGTCAGACCAAAACCAAGATCAGCTAGGAACAAGCCCTGTGGAGATTTGAAAAATAATCAGACTTCTGAGCCACTTCTACACCACAACACTTTAGTTTATGGTAGTGTTTATAGCCTAGAGCTACTTTAAGAACTCCTACTATTTAGCAATCTCAGATCCATAATAAACAACAGGATTAAATTCACACAATAATTTTCCATCAGCATCCCCTCCTGTCCTGGTTTTGGCTGGGATAAAGTTAATAGTGTCCTTAGTAGCAGGCACAGTGCCGTGTTTTGGATTCAATGCGGAATAATGTTTTAACAAGCTCCTGGTTTTGGCTGCTGCTCAGCAGGGCTTACCCCAAATCAAGGACTTCTCAATCTCACGTGTTCTGCCATTCAGGAGGTGCACCTGAAGCTGTGAGGGAGCACAGCCAGGACAGCTGACCCCAAATGGGCAAAGGAAAATTCCACACCCCAGAATATCACTCCAATATAACGTCCCCAGTATATAAACTGGGAGAAGCTGGCTGGAAGGGGCTGATCGCTACTTTCAGAAGGGCTGGGAATCCATGAGCAGGGGGTGAGAAGTTGTATCATGCATTACTTGTTTCTCTTGGGTCTTATTCATACAATCAGTCCTTTCCCTCCTTTTCATTACTAATCTTATTTTTACTATTAGGATGATTATTATATTTTATTTTGTTTCAATTACTAAACCCACAAATCCTACTTTTTTTTCCTGATTCTCCCCAGTGGAGGGTAGAGGCAGAGAGTGGGTGAATGGCTGCCTGATAATCAGTTGCCAGCAGGGATTAAATCACCCTACTTTTCCCTGTCATTTCCTTGGGTTATTCTTGGGTTTTCCAGGCACACTCATCTGCTCACCTTGGAATTTGGCCCAAACACGTTTTGCAGATTAGTCTAGATTTCTGGTCTCTATGGTGAAATTCTGTACAATTATTCTGCTATTTTTAGTTAGAAAGACTTCTTTACGTGTTTTAGACATAAATGACACCATGGACTAATGAAGTAAAATATGGCATTTCTACAGAGCACAGGACAGATCTACAATAGGAGGATAATTCAGCTGGTCTGTTGTATATGCAGCAAGTCGGTCCACTTGATGAATATATGCAAATATTGCTGGAGGCATAAATCCAAAATACAATTACAAGAGCCCTCTGCCTGCAAATAAGAGCACATAAATATGTCTTTACAAAACTACCTGTATGCTCAGCTGCTACCTACCTTTCCTGTGGTTTACTACCCATCAGCCAAAGTACACTGCCTACAATTATCTGTGGACAGAACTTCTAATTATTTGTGATGAATAATAGATGCATTTTATCATTACACACTAAAAACTTCTATTCTGCGTTTTTAATAGGCCATTGAAATAAGCCTGTGGATTTATGAGTGACATGTTTATGGTTCTAATGTATTTTATTTTCCAGGGAAAGACAGGTAGCAGCACTGATTCCATCAGTCACTAGGGTCATCCTAAAAACTGCTAATTCCATCCTTAATTGTGTAACTGTAACCATGAATGGGTTTTATTATTCTTTACTGTACACAGAGTGTTTCTCTTAAATATGTAGGTTAGTTCTGTTTGTAAGAAAATCAAAGTCAAAAATATTTCAGCCAAAACTGCAGTGAAAGCTATAAAAAGAACATTAAGTTTTCATCAAACCACACATACTTTGTGTTTACGTGTCCATAGGAGGATTAGATTTTGACTCATTTTAAAATACCATAGTAAAAACATCAGTCATGAAATGATCAGTGACAGTAAATTTCATCGCTTTCTACTGCCTGTGATACATGTGAGATGAACTGGCTACAAAGCAGAGCATATTTTGAAAAATATTTTTCAAATATGCTACTTCAAAAGTTATGATTTCATCTAAAAATAAAATAGAAATTCTTAGAGAACTAACATCGTGCTTTTTCTGAAAATCTGAAAGGCTGTAATAAAGACTTTAAGTTATTACAATCTATTCTGCAAATGGCTAAGCGGCCAGGACCACGTTCATTTATGCTTTGTCCTTTTAAGCTTTCAGGGTGCTGTGTAGCCATAGTAACTATGCTTTTTTGCTGCAAAATCCATTAGCTGGTTTCAATCTGGGATTCAATACCACCATAATCAAAGCCAAAGATTAAAAAAATTGTGATTAAGAAAAAGATTGTTGGTGACAAGCATTTCTTTTAAAAGCAATTTCTGCATATCTATGCTTTATACATAACAGCAGAAGAAACCAAAAGATTAAAAGGACATCAAAAGATAAATTCAAAATTAATTTTAAAACTAGGTTACCATCAGGAATTACAAACTACTACCTCAAACTAGACAGTTCAGAAGACTAGGATAAGCTCTATTCTGCACCCTATTTGTATGTTGTTTTTAGTCACAACAGCACTAAACAACTACAAATGCCAGCTCACTCCTGACACTGGCTACAGATAAACTAAACAAATGACATTGTCACTGTTGGCTTGAATCCCAATTACAAGAAGGTACACTTGGTAACCAGAAGGAGGCACATTTTTTGCAAGCAATTGGTATATACTCCACAGCTGGAATTTCAAAGTGTAGGAATACATTCCACTAACCATTTATTTAAAAATAAATTCCTTGAGTCTTTGTACTCAAAGGAATACCGTATTCTTTAACTGAAAATTTTCATTGCCACCTCAGCTATTTTACTATTAGTTCATCCTCTGCTGATTTTTCAAATTCCATTTGCTTCTGCATTATATTAGAATCAAACATGATTCAAAGAAAATATCTGCCATGTGCAAGAAGTGTGCATATTTGGGCTGAGGAAGAGGAAGATATCCCCTAATAAGAGAAAATTATCCATACTGGCATTTTATTTCTGCATTCTAGCTCCACATCCTGCCATAGCCCTTCTTGTAACAAGCAACAAGAAACAATAGCAAGGCAGTGGTTGTGTAGGGTAAAGACAGACTGGATTATTTTTAAGAGACCATAAAAATTGCAAAATGCACTCATGCTTGCATTCAATAGAATTAAAAAAAAATAAACTTCATGAGTTACCTGAATCTAAACCTTCTCCTTTTTCCCTCTAAGACGTAACTTGTAAAGCTCTGACTCCACTGAAGTTAACAACAAAACTGCCATAACCTTCACTAGAGCAAGATTTCACCACATGAATATTTAATGACAAGGATGACACCAGAGAGGATTAAAGGTCATGCTTTCTCTGTCACCACAGCAGAGGACAAAGTCATGGCTCCTACACCTAGCTTGTCCAACGATTCTGTGATCATCAGCTTGGCCCTGCTCTAAATGAGAATGACAACACATTCCAGAAGTCACAGTATAAAGCAACACTAATGGTTTCCAGGAGTTCAACTCTGGAAGAAAGATGCCTAAAATGCTTCTTTCAAAGTACTCTTGGTTCTGCCTTTTAAAGAAGAACTGACAAAGGCTCACCTTCACTTCAAAACAGTATGAGCATATTGAGGAAGGCAGAGATGCCCTTAACAGAGCATTTTGACAAGACACCCTTTGTCATTAGCAGTGACTGCACAATTTCACCCAATTGGCGATAGAACAAAGTACTTCTGTATATATTGATAGAATACTCTATGAACTGAAATCTTAGGAGAAGATTTTAGGTCCTTTTCCCACCCAGTCTTCCAGATGCTGCTCACAACAGGAAAGCAGCACCAATGTTAAAAAACTCACAACAGGAAGCAGCACTGATAGTAAAAATCACAGGAAATCAAATCCAGGCCTGACAGAATTACAAAAGCAACCCAAAACAAAACGAAAAACCAACCAAACAAAAACTGCAATCACAACAAATCAGAAAACCTGGAGATTTCATAGAGTGTAAAGAGGCATAGGTGCTCCCAGCAGACTTGCAAGTGCTGCAGAATCAAATGAGAGCTTTTGCAAGTAACACAGCTTAGAATGCCTTGATAAACACTAATAATTTTCTATTTCCACAG